AGTAGCCAGCGGTGCTGAACTTTTTTTTTCCTGTATTTATTGGCTATTTCACTTCTTCTGAGGTATGTTTCTTTACTTCAGTTGCCCGTTTTTTGATCGGGTCTTTTATTTTGGGGCATTTAATTTTTTGAATTGTTTATCTATTCTAGATATTAGTCCTCTGTGTGAAGAAAGCTGCCAAAATATTCTGTAGGTTGTCTCTTTGCTTTGTTGGTTGTTTTCCTTTGCTATACAGAAGATTTTCAACGTGATATGATCCCATTTGTTGATTCTTGAGGTTATTTCTTGTGCAATTGGAGTTCTATTCAGAAAATCCTTGCCTATGCCTCTGTCTTCAATTGTTTTATCTATTTGATATTCTAGATTGTTTCTGTCTTAACATTTTGTTGTTTGATCCATTCTGATATTAGTTTAGTGCATGGTGAAATGCACTCTAGATGTATGAGTCTAGCTTCACTCTTCTGATAGCCATTTTGTTTTTCTAGCACTGCTTGTTAAAGAGGCTGTCTGGCCTGCAGTGTATGTTTTTGTCCCCTTTGTCAAAGACGAGCTGAATGTGTCTGGAGTTGTTTCTGCATCCATTGTTCTGTTCCATAGATCCATGTCTGCTTTTATGCCAAGACCATGCTGCTTTTATTAATGAAGCTTTGTAATATTATTTAAAATCTGAGATTATAACGCCTGCTGCTTTGCTCTTGTTACCCAGGATTGCACTCGCTATTCTGGGTCTCTTCTGAATCTGTATAAATTTTAGGGTTCTGTTCTTCAGTTCTGTGAGGAATGCTGTTGGTATTTTGATTGGGTTGCATTCAATCTGTATCAGTTTTGGGAGTATTTTGACAGTGTTGGTTTTATCTGTCCAGGAATAGGGGATATCTTTCTATTTTCTGATATCCTCTTGGATCTCCTTTTTCAAGATACTGTAATTTTCACCCTAGAGGTCTTTTACTTTCGGGATATGTTAATTTCTAAGTATTTAATTTTTTTGACGCGATTGTGAGTGGTATTGTCTTTCTAATTTCTTTCTTGGTGAGTTCATTATTGTTGTACAGGAACACTGTTAAGTTTTATGTGTTGATTTTTTTTTTTTGTCTTTTTGAGACAGGATCTCGCTGTGCAGTTCAGGCCGGCCATGAGCTCACTTTGTAGCCCAGGCTGGTCTCGAACTCACAATGATCCTCCTGCCTCAGCCTCCCAAGTGCTGGGGTTACAGGCGTGTACCACTGCGCCCAGCTGTGTGTTGATTTTGTATCATGCTACATTGCTGAATTTGACTCCTAATTCTAGGAGTCTTCTAGTGGACTTTCTTGAGTTTTCTATGTAGAGGATCATGCTGTCTGCTAATAATGATAATTTGTCTTCTTTCTTTCCTATACACATTCCTTTTACTTCTTTTTCTTGCCTGATTGCTCTGGCTAATATTTTGAGTACTGTATTGAACAGTGTGATGGTGGATGTCCTTGTCTTATTCCTGGTTTTAGGGAGAAAGCTTTCATTTTTTTCTGTTTAATATGATGTTGGCAATAGGTTTGCCACAAGTGGCTTTTTATCAGATTGAGGTAAGATCCTTCTATACCTCTTTCCTTCAGGGTTTTTTGTATCATGAATATGTGTTGAATTTGTCAAAGATTTTTTCTCTGCATTTACTGAGATGATCATATGTTTTTTGTCCTTATCTTTGTTTATGTAATGTATTATATTTATTCATTTGCGTATGTTGGACCGTCCTTGCATCCCTGGGATGAAGCCTACTTCGGCATGATGTATGATCTTTTTGATTTGTTGCATTCTGTTTGCCAGCATCTTGTTGGGGATTTTTGCATCTATGTTCTTAAAAAAATAGGCCTGTAGATTTCTTTTTTGGATGGGTCCTTCCCTGGTTTTGGAATTAGGGTATACTAGCTTCCAGGAACAGCCTTGGGAGTACTCCTTGTCTTTTAATTTCATCACAGAGTTTGAGAGTGTTGGCATCATATCTTCCTTGCAGGTTTTGTAGCAGTTAGCAGTGCATCTGTCAGTTCCTGGGCCTTTCTTAGGTGGTAGGTTTCATATTATTGCCTCAATTTTATTGCCAGCTTTTGGATATTTACCTACACATGCAGTGATTCTGCTGGACAGGATCACAGGAGAGGATCCTAGAAATTAGGAGACTCTAAGCTTGTATAGGCTGCTGGCACATCGTCCATCTTCCTCAGCAGCAGCAGAATTCCTGATTAAACAAATCACCTTCACAGAAAAGTGGGAAGGTTTCTTTAGGTTTATTATCATAGGATATAAATAAAATTTCTCCAGGGAGGGATAGGAGAGAGGGTCGTTTCTCTGTGGAGGTCTGTGTGCAGAGTGGAAGATACCTCTCTAGCTTCCAGGTTTTTCTGTCGTACACATATCCTTGCACTTCTTGCTCAGTCTGTGACTGTTCGGGTACATGAGGAGTCCCCAGAAAATTGTTTCTTAGTAGTAACTCTAAATCTCAGAAGCCACCTCTATTCATACTTGAACTCAGACTTAGGGATACAGTGTTTTCAGAATTTTATCCGTTTCTCTTTCCAGCTCTTGGCACTTTCTCCGCGTTGGCTCATTGTCAAGTAGGTACTTATGTTCTCTCCGTTGAGCTACTTCAGCTGAAAAAGCACTTTCTTTCCTGATTAGTTCCTGTAACAATGCTGGGGGTGCTAGGTATGCAGCGGAGTCGTAGAGCACTTGCTTAGCGTTGCGAGGCCCTGGGCTTGGTTGCTAATACTAAAAAATAGAAATGTTGGGCTACTTCCAGGCTTCTCTGTCCAGTTTGCCTCATGTACCCGTCCCTGAACTACTGCTCAGGGGAAGGGATCTGCTGCTTCTGAAGACCGGTACTGTGTGCCCACTGCAGAAACTTTAGAGTGTGAAAGACTAAGCCACATAGACTGATGACAGGAGAAGGGTATTTAGCAAAAGAAAATTTCTTACATTGCTTAAAAGATCTTGCCCTTATCAGAGCTCACCGAAGATTTCATACACACGGTGGAAAAATACATGATGACTGCTTTCCGGTGAGCCTTAATCTCCCCAGCCTCTCACTGCACAGCCTCTCCGCCTGACCTCCCGCTCAGCTGCGCTTCCCATCTCCACAGAACTGACTTCCCGGTTTCCTATCATCTTTCTTTTATTTTGCTCTTTAAGTTACTTGTATTTTGGGTTTCTCCTAGAAGAGAAGCCATTCAGTGTTTAACCTGTGTCTGATTTATTTTGCTTAGCATTATGGACTCAAGGTAACTCAAGTTTACCCTCCTCTCTGGCTGAGGGGTACTCCACTTTCTTTATCCATGCATCTGTTGATGGGCATATAGGCTGCTTCTGTAATTGAGCTGTTATCAGTTGGGCTGCTGTGAGCATGGATATGCAGGTATCACTGTACTATATCACTGTACTCTTTTGGGAAGATACTGCTGGTATTGATAGTTAAATGGAATTTCTATATTTAGTTGTTTTTTTTTTTTTTTTGGTCTTTTTGAGACAGGGTTTCCCTATGCAGTTCGGGCTGGCCTTGAACTCACTTTGTAGCCCAGGCTGGCCTTCAACTCGAAGCGATCCTCCTGCCTCAGCCTCCCAAGTGCTAGGATTACAGGTGTGCGCCACCATAGCCGGCCTCTATATTTAGTTGATGAATCTCCGTACTAACTTCCATACTGCTTGCATTGGTTTACATTTCCAAGCACAATGTCAAAGGATTCCTTTTCCTCTGTAGCCTTGCCAGCATTTCACTGTTTTGATTTTTTGGTGGTAGTGTTTCCTGCTGGGGTAAAATGAGACCTCAGCGTTGTTCTGACTTGCATTGTGCTAATGGACAAAGATGCTGAGCCTCTCGGCAGGGTGTATTCCTGTCACTGGCGCCTCCCTTCTTTCTGCCTCCCGCTGAGGTGCGATGGGATGAGCCGCTTTCCTCTGCCTTCCCTTCCTCCATGCCATCCGCCTAGGAGCCAAGCCCGCTGGAGACTGATCCGGTGCTGGTACTGCGTCCCAGCTGAAGGGACTGACACCCTGGCCAAATCCAGAGGGAATAAAAGTGCTTGTTTGGAGGCGGAGAAGGAGCCTTCTGCACAGAACCTTAGGAGAGTGGAAGCTGGGCGTCAGACCTTGACAGACACGCTGCACTTGGCCGGGCTCTTGACCGGAAGGAGAGGACTGATCTTTCTGGTAACATTTCCGAATTGTCACTTGACTCACGTGGAAGTCAAGGAAGCAGGGAAGAGACAGGAAGCCGAACAGGCAGACAGAAATAAGCGCTTGGAGGAAGAGGGGAGCTGACGGCGAATGAGGGAGTCAGGGTGGAATAGGCGGAATGGGCGAAGAGGAGAAACTGAGAGGCGCTGAGCGGCGTGCGCTTGGCTGTGTGCGGCTCCCGCGCGGTGAAGTCAACCGCCCGGGAATCAGAAATACCCTTCAGACAGTTGCGTCTGTCCTGAGCCAGTCCCGCGTGGGCACCGAGGGATGAGTGCATGCTGACATGAGTGATAAAGGGGAACCAGTGACCGAGAAACATCTCAGAAGGTCTGCGCTTTCCGGGATCGACGGGAGAACTGCCAGTTCGAGGGTACATGTGAAACGCAGGAAGCATAAGTTTGCTGGGAGAATTTTTCTCAGACTTTCTTAAGTTTTTGGAAATATTTTTTCTTACACACTTAATTACTCCTTTAGGATGTAACAGTTTTTTTTTTTTTTTTTTAAACGTGGTCTCACTATGTAGTTGAGGCTGGCTGAACTCACTGTGTAGCCAGCTGGGCTGGAATTCCTGGGGATGCTCCTGCCTCAGCCTCCTGAGTGCTGGGATTGCAGACAGGTGCCATCGTGCCTGGCTGTAACAGTAGTTACTCCCTTGTTGCTTTTGATGTGTTTTAAGCTTGAAGTTAGTTGTATTCTGTGAAAATGGACAAAAACAAGAATTACCTCTTCAAAGTGGAGTCGGAGGCGGAGGAGGTAAAGTACGTCACACAAAGGGAGCTTAGAGAAAAGAGGAGAGAGTGAGCAGTGGCTGGACTGGTAAGTATGGAGTTCTCATTGTACTTGAGGGATCTGACAAACTGACACAGCTACTTTCCACTGATGGCTCACCGTGCTCCGTGTGTACATTTTTTTCCTTTTTCTCTGTGGTGAATGGTTCTGACTCCGTGAATTTCTTCTTGCAGCTCATGTCTTTTGGCCAGACCTATGGTCCTTCCTGAGACTTCACTGCACGTTTCCCCAGTGTCTTCCTCATCCCTAGTGTGTACACACCTCAACATGGACCTGCTGCTTTAGCTAAGGCACAGCCAGCAATGAATAGTAGTAAGGTAGGATCACTTTCCTGTTCTTGGTTAATTAAAGCATTTTTTCCTCTTTGAAATGATAACAGTTTTGTAGGGCTTTTTTTGTTTGTTTTGATTTGAGGTAGGATTTTACCAGGTAGTCCAGGCTCACCTGGAACTTTCAGTGTAGCCCAGGGTGGTCTCAAACTCTAGCTCAGCGATGGCGGACATTGTAGAGTTTCAGTGATAACAAACAGCCGGCTGAGCACGCATACCAGGTTCACCGCCACTGCTCTAGATTGTCCTGCTTCAGCCTCCCAAGGGCTGGGATGACAGGCATGTGCCACTGCACCCAGCTTGTAGTATTCTTTATGTGAGCTTATTCTGTTTTGGAAGGCTGCTTTCATTTTATATTTGTGTTTATATTTTGCTTGTCCTTTATCTAAATGAATTTTATTTTACCTATGATATCACCGTTATTTTTTTCAACTAATACAATTAGCAGAATCCGAATCTGTTTCCCCAGCCTGTGTGCCTGCCAGTCCTAGATTCTCAGTAGCTGGCATCATTTGTTTCGCTTTTCCTGAAAACTTACCCTTCCTTCTGTTTTCTCTATTTCCAAAACAGACTGAGGTCATATGATATTAAACTAATAATTAATTAAGAGTCAGATAAAATTCAATTTCAGGGAAAGAAGTATTTAAAAAGTTAATTTTATTGGTGCATTTTAGACATGCATAGTGATAGCATTCATCACAGGGAATTTGTACCTGTACACAACATATCATGATTCTTCTTTTTTCCCTATCCCCCTCCCCTCCCTTCCATCCTGTTCCCCTTCTTATTTACAAAAGCTTTGCTTCCATTTTTTTCCTTCTGTTCTTTTTCCCCCCTTCTTTCCTTATCTCTCCCCTCCTCCCTTGCTTCCCTTCCCATTTTAATATTTTCTACTTATTTCCCACTATCGATTGTACATTTTGGTCCTTATTTACCCTTTTGGTGTCTCACACCAGAGAAACAATGCAAGATTTGAACATGTGTGTCCAGCTTATTTCACTTCGGAGTATGGTCTCAGGGTATACCCATTTAGCTAGAAATGTCTCAAGCTTATCCTTCTTAATGGGAGGGTAGTACTCCATTGTATCAAAAAGTACTATTACATATTGCAAAATTTTCAGGTACTTTATTTTCAGTGGTAGTATTATTTCTAGCATTATAGTTAAATTTCTTTTAGTAGCATAACCAATCCTATGGGAATGAGTTGTACATTGTATCAGTATACAGAGTTGCTCAGAAGCCAAAAATCATGAAGTCATCCTGAGTATATTCTTTTTCTGCTTTCACTCACTAAGAATCCCAAAGTGTCGTCAATTTGATTCAGAAGAAACACACCTCAAATTCATTCATCTTCCCTTTGTTGCTTGCAGCCTGCTTCAGCTCCAAGATGCAGCTTTTGTTTTTGCCCCAGCTTGTCCTTTACTCACAGTGCAGCTGAAATACTGTAGACAAGAAAGCACGAAGCTCATTTTCCAAACTTTTCAAAGCCCTGTCTGACTTTTAGTTAATTTTGAGTGTAATTTTTTTTTAAACAGGGTCTCGCCATGCAGTTCAGGCTGGCTTTGAACTCACTTTGCAGCCCAGCTTGCTCTCGAACTCTCAACGATCCTCCTGCCTCAGCCTCCCAAGTGCTGGGATTACAGGAGTGTGCCACCACACCCGGCATGCATTTAATTTCATAAGACCTCAGAGTCTTTCTGCAAGCAACAGTAATTAGCTTGGACTTCCACACTGAGTCTGAAGCTTCCTCTCCATTATTGTGTTTAAAAAAGAGAAAAATCTTTTAGCCAGTCTGAAATCTTCCCAGACTGTTAACCCAAACTTCTGATAGGTAGTTATAGTTTTGGTACAAACTGAAATTGTATAGATATTGAAATAAATCTTCCTAATTCTGTATTCCTTGTTTCTTCTAAGTTTTTTTCTAAATTGTTTTTTGTTTCTTTTCTGAAAAATTTTTAAGATTTTTTTCTCAAATGAGCAGAGTTAATTTTATTTGTGCTTTATGTGAAATGCATTTGACTATTTTAAATCCTTTATTTTAAACTGGGCATAGTGGTGCACACTTGTAATCCCAGCATTTGGTAGGCTGAGGCAGGAGGATCATTGTTAGTTCAACAGCAGCCTGGGCTACGAAGTGAGCTCAAGACCAGCCTGAACTGCTTAGTGAGACCCTGTCTCAAGAAGACCAAAAAAAAAAAAAAAAAAAAAAATCCTTTATTTTTTTTTACCCTTTTGGTCCTATGGGTTTTTCCACTTTGTATTTGGTTATATTTTGAGTTTTAGAGTTAGAGGTGATACAGGTAGTAGAATAATGGTATTTATCTTAGGTTCATTTGTTATCTTTTTGGTTTTTGTGGCTCTGTCCTAGGATATCCTCTGTGTCTCTTTCAGCTGGGACTTAGGCTGTGTGACCGTCCCAGGATCACCCGGCTGATTTTCACGGTTTTTTTTCTTGAACCGGGAACCGAACTCAGGACCTCACACTTGCCTGGCAGGTGCTCTACTGCTGAGCTATATGCCCGGTTCTGATTTTCATGAGTTTGGAGACGAGGGTGCTTGTATTCCTCCTGCTATCCTCCTCGCATGCTTTCTGCCTTCCACCCCTTCAGCCTTTCATTTGGATGGTGCTCAGTATTACAGAAAGAGTGAAGACAGAGGACAGAGAAAGGCCACGACTCCCGCTGCTTTTCATGTTTATGTATATTTAAAGCCATTGAAATTATATTGAAGACCTCATGACAAGTTAAAAATTTCAGTGCGTGTGTCTTTGGAATATGGATACCTTTCTGCGTAATTATAATACTGATACCATACGTAAGAAAATTTAATATTAATTTAAGAATATGTTTGTTGTAGACCATTTGTGCCGCTATAGCAAAATCCTGCAGACTGGATAATTTGTGAAGGACAGAGATTTCTCAGAGTTTTGGAGGCTGGGAAATCCTATTTTGGAGACTGGCGGGCTGGGGGTCTGTGAAGGCCTGTCCCACACACAGGATGCTGTCTGGGGTCCACATGTGGTGAAGGGGTGGCAGTAGAGAGTGTTGTCTGGAGCTTTTGTAACAAGAGCTTTAATCCCATGAAGTGGCGCTTCTATGGCCTGCCTGCTCCTCCCCAGGGCAACACCGCTTAGCATACCATGTTGGGGTTAAATTCCAACATAGGAATTTGGGACGGACCTGGACATTCAAACCATGACAGTGCTAAATGGAAAGGTCTGCATTTACTCACATACCGGTCCAATGATTTAAATACACGATGAGCAAAAACCACATAATTTTTCATTCATTTTTATAATATAATGGGAAATATAAAAATGAGAATGTTGTCAATTTTATTCCATAACTTTGCTTTTGGTACGGGATACCTGAAAACATTCCATACCCAACACAGTGTCACAGTGTGGACAGTAGATCCGGTCTCTTTCCAAGTTCTTTGTGTTTTATTGTCTTTTTTGAACAACACACTTTACACTCTTGAGTTGGCCTTCCTTTCTGTGGGTGTAGTAATTTCAGTAAAATGTCTACCCACTAAACGTAACGGTGAAGACGTCAATGGACGTCCTTGTTGGCATTTTGCTGTCCCGTATATTTCAGTTATTTGGTCTATTAGACCTAATCTAAGTTGTAAATGACTCTTTGAACCCTCTTGTTTTGAATAAATAACAAACAAGTTCCATGTTGTTTGATCCAGAAATGCATAAATATTTTATAATGATTTTTTTTCCTCGCTGTTTGATTACTACATAGCTTATTAGATGTTGGTCAACCTTGTCAACATCATCCATCCATAGAATTATTATAATCATTGATCACTGTTGGAATTGATTTAGTTTCATTTCTGCTTTCAAGTTCTGCCATTGGTATATTAGGAATAGTTGCCAATAAGGAGACATCTTTTTTTGTTTTTCCATGTATAACGCAGACTTTTCCTCTCTGATGCGCTAATGTTTCTATTTCAGTATTTTCTTTTGCAGGTCTTTTGGCACTTCCTGTGCATTCTCAGGGTCCCAAACATGCCCATTTTGTGTTGTAGAAGGATATTACTGAGTCCTGGAGAAGATGAAAATTACATGTAATGTACTTATGTTAAGAATTTTTATAGATTGCAGCACAAAATTGTAGGTTTTTTCACAAATAAGCAAGAATTAGTAAAAGAAAATAACCGGAACTTACTAGATTTCACTAGACGCAAACACCAAAGGCGAATACAACATTCTAAATAAAAAAGCATGAAAAAGTAGTCAGTATAAAGCAAACAGATGTATGAGTGTGTCTCTTGCAAACAAGAATCGACTGGTTGAAATGACACCTGCCCAAGCAGCACTCAGGATGGTTGTCAGTATGTGGACAATCATGCTGTTTGAGTTTCGCTCAAAGTAAACTACTAAGTGGTTAAGGTCTCTCCAATTGTCCTTAAATTTTTTTTGAGTTTTTTTTTTTCTAAATCTAGGATTCAGTCAGTTTTCATGCATTGTCTTTGGTTCTTAGGCTTTTTTTGGTTTTGTTTTGTTTTGAGACAAGGTCACCGTGTAGTTCAGACTGGCCTTAAACTCACCATGACCCTCCTGCCTCAGCCTCCTGAGTGCTGGGATTACAGGTGTGAGCCACCCATGCCTGGTGGTTCTTTGGTTTTTTAATTCTTTTTTTTTTTTTCTCGGTACCGGGAATTGAATTCACGACCTCGCGCTTGCAAGGCAGGCGCTGTGCCACTGAGCTAAATTCCCAGCCCTGGCTTTTTTATTCTTAAATAGTCCTCTGCTTTTTTTGTTTGTTTTCTGGTTGCTCATGATCTGTATTTCTGTTAAGAGAAATGAATTTGTGTATACTTAATGTCTCTTTTGGGAATTGCCTTAGTCTGTAGAACATCATTCATCTAAAACTTGTTTGCAGTTTGTTTTTTCTAGTTTTTCTAGTTTTCTAGTTCTAGTTTTTCTAGTTCTCTGAGGTTGCTAGAGAAAAAATTGTCCTTTCCAGTTTTTTTTTTTT